TATGTATATATATATATGTGTGTGTGTGTCTTTGTATATGTGTATAAAATACATTTATATATATATATATATATGTATACAAGTATACACCTTTCTATACTTATATATATATATATATAATAGATAGACAATCATATGATATATATTCATATATGCATATTCGTATCTACATTCGTAAACATATATGTATTGGTGTAAATTTATATATTATATTCGCCCATAAGTAGTTGTATCTCATCGGTAAGTATTTATGAAATTTCGCTTGTAAGTTTGAAATGCGTACTCGGATGTTGTTTTCATCCTCGAACCCTTCGTCCTTGAGACTGTACATATGATCTACATGTACGCACTGAGTGTTTAATTCATATTAAACAAAAGTATCCGGGCTCTCTTTGGATCCTAGGTTTTCTCTGAATTTCTTCCACAACTATTCCGTATATCCTGGGTTTCATGGTTTTCAGGGTTTTGTTTTAATACGATGTCATTTGTTGTATTTATCTAGTACTCCCGTGTTAATCCCCGGGCTGGTAGACTTCATCACCACAGTGAAGGCCAGTGGGGGTGCATTCGGTTCCTTAGCAACAGAGCGGTTGGGAGTGGGGAGTGTGCGATCTCGGTTGACCATTCCACCACTCATAGCTGCAGGCGAGCGGCTTGAACTAAGTGTGAAGGTATGTACTCTACTAGTGGTTCCCACATCGATGCTAACGCGTTTTCCACTCTGCAATGGCTTTTGAACTGTTTATAAAGGTAATGTGTTATACTACACGGTGTATTCATCTTATATACCTTTATACCGGTATTTTGTCATCCGTAGTTCTGATTCCTGGGGCCGTACACTCCTGAGCTTGTCAAGGCGTCTGTATGCTATCTGTCATGGGGTGTATAGAGTCCTGCACTACCACATTCTTGCTTAGTAATTCAAATCGAGAAACGAAGCTCTCCTACAGATCGTATCACGTACGATAGATTTCCTATCGCGACTGAAAATCAAATATATCGCACCTCGACTGGCAGCTGGTTATGGTATGTTTCTGCTCGGTATTTAGCCTCACGAGGAATGAATCTGATCTCCTGATATTTCAATACGCACTTTCTAGCCTATTTATATCAACTTCATGGAGACGGAACATCCGAGTTATGATTGGATAAACGAAGGGTGGCCATTTGGTATTGTTGGGCACCAAAGAATTCTTGTTGACTCGATTCCAGAACTTTTCCGAATGAACATTCAGATCAAGAACGAGGGTGTTGTGGATTGCAATCCGGGACAGGTATGTCTACACCGCGCACTCTACGTATATGCAGATGATCAGGCAAGCGTATCTAAGTTACTTCAAGTAAATATGCATACTCCTTCTAGAAGAAGATTTCTTTTGTAATGTGATACACTTATTATATCATTAAATGTATCTTTATGTATACTTGTATGTGCGTATATGTCTTATGTAGATGCATAAACATATACAGCTCAGTTGTATGCCAAATATAAATTGAGGTATGTTACTAAATAATACATGTATGTATATGTACATAGTATAAACATACACATGTTACTAAATAATCTATATATGTATATATAGCATTATTATACAAATGCTACTAAATAATACACGACGTTAGAGTTTAGTGTTTGCTAAATACGAGTTTGTGTGATAACAGCCTCGCCGCAAGACACACGGCTGCCATTTGATTGCAGGATCATATGTCCATCATCTGTATATATATATTTGTATTTATATGTGCGTGTGTGTGTGTGTGTGTATCCACTCACTCGCGCTCCATCTTCCCGATCGATCTCCTCTTCATACTGCATATAGCAAGCAGCAATCGAGGTAGTAGTCTGTGATTACTTCCAACCCCAACCGCGAACATTGCTTTGTACTTTGTCCGTTGGTGACAGGTGCAATACGTCCGCTCTCTCCACGATCTCAGATATGCAAGATTACTGCTCAGCGTATTCTGCACCACCAACGCGTTCGTGATTGGAGCTACACAGTTTCATGCACCAGCCCCCACGAGATGGTGCAGTGCTATGTATCGGTGGGGTCAACGAAACCTAAACGCACACGTTCCTGTCTGCAACGTTTTGAGTGTATGCTCTGATGTTTGTAAGCTATCCTGAAGGAAAAATTACAGCCCTGTGCCAAGTGAATGGTACCGTGAAGGACGTGGCCAAAACGTTGGTAGCCGTCTCATTAAAGTTCAACCACACTTCTGCTGGGTTTAGGGTTCAGGGTTTTAACACACTTTTGTTGGGTTGAACCCAGTTCTCCAACGGCCTGTGGCTGCCCCGGAGGAACCAGTCCAGTGCCCTGTCGCTAATCACTGGCAAGTACGTCTGGATATCCGACGGCTGCCTGCGGTCACACCAAGTGCTGAATGAAACCACATTCGGTCTCCAGGACACCTTTCCTGCGACTGAATTGGGCCGGTGCCTCAAAACCAGGGCCACTCGGCTGGCCGTCTTCGGAGACTCTATTAGTGTGTGAATGTTTTGTATCAGAGTGTGATCATCTCAGTGTAGCGTAGACTCTATTAGTGTGTGAATGCTTCGTATCAGTATGTGCTCATCTCAGTGTAACGTATACTTATATGACTCCTTGTGTGAGAATGAGAGACCCATAGACGGTGTGGAGGGCTCCGTTTAAGTCTGCCGTCCGCTGAGATTGATATGTCAAATGGGTCCATCAGTTTGCGTACCAATGTGAGTGCTCGCACATACACGTGCACGACAACATGCACTTCTATATACGTGCGTACGGTAGACGGTAGGTGTAGAAGTATTTGCAGTACACGTTCTTTACGCAACACGTTGCAACAGCCAGTCAGCTTTGACTTCTCTGTACTGGATGCTGCGCCAGCAGATGAGTGTTTGGCATAACGTCTGATTGCGGGGTCACACTGATATAAAGTTATACACAGGTACTCTCACACACATGCGCATTCACACCCCCACATATGCACACACCCACCATACCACCGTACACGCGCATACATGTGTGCATAGTCTAGGCTAACGAGAGTGGGTTCAAGTTAGCGGCAACCCATACTAGTCGCTTCGATGCTATGGATATATTTACTTCATGCGCACTCGGTCTAATGCTCTGCCCGTCTTCCTCGCTGATATGTCCACATGATGGGTGTTGCCTTGTTAAGAAACCGCCCTATCACTGAGCTGTACTTCTCAACTGTTCATGCTTTGTGCGCAGCTGTGGTATAGCACAGCGTACGTAAGCATCCGTGCCCACATGGAGCTATGTTAGTTTGTCACACGCTCTACCCTAGTGCTCATAGGACACTTTCCCACCACTCAGGCTCCTCTGATTGGGCCTTCCTGATAGTCTCACTAACTGTGTGAATCGGTGGTTTTCCGACACATTCATGTCAGGCTACTTGTGTCGGTGTTTACGGCGTTTCCCATTTGTTTACTCTCAGCGCGCAATTTCTGGGAGGATTGGGCTTTCTTCCTGACGGACACCTACCCATCAGGCGATTTTAACATGTTCACGCTTAAAAAGGGAAGGCACGAGGGCATCAAACTGAAGGTAAGACAAATAGAATACAGATGGAAGATCCCTGTGTATGCAAATAGCCTCGGCGCACATGCAAATGGTATATTTTGTAATAGACTGAGCAACCACTATACCATCACCGCGTGTGCGAGTAGTAGTGATGAATATATATACATGTATATATGTATATACATGCATG